GGCGGCTCTCCCTCCCCACGTGCTTACAGCAGGTACAGCTGCCCGTGTTTCCGTTTCTCCTTTCAGATGCCCTGATGTCTGCCCCTTGCAAAGACCCGACCTACCCGAGGTTGGCAGATGCGCAGGCGTTGGTGTGACTCCCCAGTAAAAGGTAACTCTCGCTCACCCCTGCTGCTGCCGCTGGGATTTCTCTCGGCCCCGCTGCAACTCCCTCCCCACGTGCTTACAGCAGGTACAGCTGCCCGTGTTTCCGTTTCTCCTTTCAGATGCCCTGATGTCTGCCCCTTGCAAAGACCCGACCTACCCGAGGTTGGCAGATGCGCAGGCGTTGGTGTGACTCCCCAGTAAAAGGTAACTCTCGCTCACCCCTGCTGCTGCCGCTGGGATTTCTCTCGGCCCCGCTGCAACAGCCCGTGCTGAAGGGGTCCAAGCCCCTCCGAGGGTGGTGGGTGAATCCCGGGTGTGTGCCCTGTCTCCCAGGGCCGCGTTCGCGCAGCCAGGCCACCCCAGTACCTGTGCCTACACGTGCTCAGGGGCCGCACCACTGCGTGCAGCAGCGTCGGCGAGTGGGGGCTGCACCTCCCAACCCTCCTCAGCCCCTCTGCCTCTGCCCATCTCTTCTTGTTTTTGGTAGAATGAGTGAGAGAGACATACAAAGCCTGAGCAAATGGGTTTTCGTGCTCACTCTCTGCCTTACCACGCTGTGGGGAAGACTGACGCTGGCCTCCACCCATCACAGAAGCCATTCAGGTAGGGGAGGCGACGTCCTTGCTATGTGCATTGGGCTCCTGTGCAATCGCCCTGGGCCCCGGAGGTGCTGGGGGCACCCTGGGGTCTCCATGAGGTGCCTGGAGTAGGGGTTACATGGGACCGAGATGTTTGGTGAGGGTCTGTCCCGTGTTCCTGGGTGGGAGGATGAGTGTGGGTGGTCTCGGGTCGTGGCACGCAGCAGGAGCGGGTGGGTGGCTCTCGGGGGGCCGGAGGCCGCTTGCCCAGTGGACCTCGGTGTCCAGCCCTATTGCTGGGATCGAGGTGAAGGGGATGAGCGTGCCGAAGGTGCGGGGCAGAATCCAGCAAACGGACACCAAGAGGCACTGACATTTTCTCTCCGGAGGCGCTGTGAGGGCTGCGGGATTTGCGCTTCGAGTGTCCGTGTGTGCAGGAAACTCCCTGGGCTGCTCCGCCGAGACAGGCGGGAACCTGGAGCCATATAGCAGTAAAGCTGTTGCTTGGAGTTATAACTTGTAAATACTTAATATGGGGCAGTGATAAACTGTTGCTTGATGAGCCTGGCTGGTGTGAGGAGCTGAAAAGTGAATTTCTTCATGTCCGTAGCAAAATCTGAGACGCATCCGTGTATTCAGGTAATTGTTGATCTGCCAGCAGTGAGATGTGACTCTTTCCATCTGAGTTGCAGTGAGTGTTACAAACCGCGCTTGTTGTGTGATGGACACTCTCTGCTTCAGGCTGTTGTTGGAAATACAAATTTTCAGCCCTCTGGTTGTAAAGATCATCTTGAAACATGGAACAAGTATAAACTGATGTAGAACTGAAAGTCTTGCTGGCAAGCGTAGCCTTGGCTCTGGGGTGTTAATTTGTTATTCCCAGTGGTGGCTTCGAGATCCCCCTCTGTGCCCGTATGTCGGGATGCAGTTTTCTGTGATGGGTGTGATTTCTGGAGGGGTCGTGTGAACCCGCGGTTTAATTTTGTGCTTGAGAAGCAGCTGGGAAGTTGTGTCAGCTCCTTGTGCCCACCCTGCCTGGAGCAGGAGCCTGATGGACCGTGCCGGAGGGGATCCGGTAGCCCAGGGCTCACCAGTTCCTCTCCTCGGTGGGGAGGGGGGAGGACGGCGCGGGCGGTGGGAGCTGGTGTTACTGGCAGAGGCGAGTGCTTGGAGGGGAGCAATCCTGGGGCACGGCCGTCTGCCTTTGTGCCTGTGCTTGGAAAAGAAGGTGATTAAGGGTTAATTTGAAACTGTTCGTGCTCTTGCCTGACCCCACACCTAACCCTGTCCTATTTCTGTCATTTCTGCCTGACAGTTAAAGCAGTTCTAATCCTATAATCCCCATCCTCCTCGCTTAAAACCAAAACATATCTTCCGGAGTGACTCCCTCAGCCAGCTAGTCAGCAGGTACCTGCCTGACCCTCCCGCTAACCCTACCAGCGGGAAGATGAAGCTTCTCTGTCGTTTCTGGGATGACTTTTTGGCACCAGCTCGGGACTGCCCAGGGCAGGGGCTGGGGCGCTGCCTGTGGCCAGGCACCCACCTGACCCGCCCGGGGCCAGAGACCCCCGCTCCTCCCCGGCAGGAGCGGTTTGCAGGGGAGCTGCTGCCTCAGGAGAGAGTCAGACTGGGCACTACTAAAGCAGCGACTCACCTGGGTTTAAAGTGCAAGTGGCCAAGTGTACTGGTGGGGTGTGGATTGTGTGTAAATCTCGCTCCAAACGTGAGCAGACGGGCTCTGTGTTCACGTGCTGGCGGGCAGAGAGCCGGGGGTTTCTCGCTCACGCAGTCTTATCCACAGTGGACCAAATCTTGTGCTTTTTATTCAAGCAAATTCTGATCCACAGCAAAGAGGGCAGACCAGAAGCAACTGCTTAGAAGTCTGACCCCACTCTGTGTCTGTATTAACACGGTTTCTCTCTGCCTGTCCTGGTTTCCTGGCACTGTGGGTATTCTGCGTGGTGCCTGCTCTCCTGGGCTGGAACGCTGTGAACTCAAACCAGGAATTCCTACTCTTCTTGCTGAGTTCATGGGCTTTATTTTCCTGTTGTCTGCCCTGTGCTTTTGCTTCATTTGGGACAGTTTTTAGTGAAGGTTATATTTGAAACAAGCTTTCATAAGGTTGCCTGCTCAGTTGCAATGACATTTTCATCCTGGGAAGCCCGTGGAGTTGGGCTGGGTGGGAACAGGGACAGC